TCCAACTAAAACATTTAAACTTAATGATTATCCACTCTTAATTTCCCCTTGGTAAGGAATATTAACCCTGATAAAGTTAAGTACTTTCTTGCTCCAGTAACAAACTGGACTTGCTTTGGTCAACAATTATTCTGGTTGTTTGGGAGAAGGAAATAAGTGCATTTATTTTCTGGATCTTTTCATTTGGTAGCTGTTGCTGTTTAGTTGCTTGATCATGTCCAAATTCTTTTGCGACCCCATGGACTGTAGCCCACCAGGGTACTCTGTGAGATTTCCCAGGCAAGAATACTGGAGTGAGTAGCCATTTCCTTATTCAGGGAATCTTCTCTACTCAGGGACTGAATCTGCATTTCCGGTATTGACAGGTAGATTCTTTGCCACTGAGCCACCAGGGAAGCCCCATTTGGTAGTTTAAGCAACAATTTTTATTATAAACAACTATTCTTAAACTGATCATAAATAATGACACTCAGATGATTTTTGACATTCCAAATGAATCTAGATCTTCAAGAAGACAGAAAAAAACAATGATATCCCTATACAGAAGATCCTACTCTAGGCCAGACCTCTTAGATGGTGTTCTGTGATCATATTTTTACAAAAGCAGATAAATAAAAACTATTGGAATTTAGGTAAGACTTTATAAAAAGTGTTTTCTAAATATTAACGTCTACTCATCCTAGTCAAATAGATTAAATTTAGGCAGAATATAAAAACAAGGCTCTGAAGGCATTAATGGAAATCTTACCAGAAGAAGGAAAATGACCCCTGGGAATCCTTTCCTGACCTAAGATTTTCTTTTTCATGCACAGCTTGTGAACACTGGTTATTCATTCATGAATTAGCATCTTTGGCCAATATGCTTAGCTTTATCTCTATTGGATTTTGAAGATAACTTAACAATCTGATAGTTTATTATTTATTTGTAGCAGCCTGGGGTTGCTGATATTATAAATTCCGATATTATAAAGCAAATGCCATAGTAATATCAATTTCTCCCTTAATATTTCAGTTCTTTGGATATTTTATTTCCTGTACTATCCTGGGGGTTTATTGTTTATTGTTTCCCTGGATAGTAAAGATGCATTTTACTCTGTGTTTATGTGTGTGTGTGTGCACTAATAGTCTGAAATCCTATGCTTTCCAAATCTAAAATATCTATATCAAGGTACCCTTCTGAATGGTAAGAAGGCACTTACTTGTTTGATTTATTTTGTTTTTAAAATTGTCCTTATGTTAGGTAAGCTGTAGTACCATGCTCTGTTCTCTCATTTGGAAAAAGAAGGAAGCTATTTCCTTTTTGTCTTTTTTGAGTAATTTTCCTTGATGAAGAAAATTAAATTATATTTATCTCTCTTTTGTCTTCTCTGGAAAACTAAAATGATCTGAGGGTGGCAACTCAAGCGAAATAGATTATTAACTTTTCTAGATCAACACTGATTTAATTCTTTATAAATTGCTAGAAATATTTGGACTTCTTAATGAATTGTACATTGATCAGTTTACACGAGCAGTATGTTTTGTTGTTTTGCTAGAATAATATTGTGGTCTCAAAGTCTGTTGCTAGGAATTCACAGTTTCTACCATCTGCTTCTGTCTTCTGCATATAAAAACATAATCAAGCCTGGTTGTTTGTGGGTGTGTGCGTGTGTACACACATGCATGCCTATTTCTGTGTTTGTGTGACTGCATGTGTTTAATTCTACAGGAGGAGGAAAAGATAAAGTTAAAAGAATCTATTCTATATTACTATAAATCAATATCAAAAATATAGAATGAAAAAGGCTTACAATCATTTTCACATATATTCACTACCATATATTGAATATATTTTGAAGTGGTATTCTAAAAGTAAGCATTTGATATCAGTTCTTTTTCCACTTGTTAACTGTATCTTAAAACTTTATTCCCTACATATAGTAATATGTTTCCTCTAGGATCATCCCTTTAAAAAAATCCAATACTTCTAGGGATGCTTAAAGAGTTTTATTATGTTGCCCTTATAATTATCTGTCATCTTATGCTCCAACCTTAATAGTTCGATTGTAGACCACAACCTGCTATTTTTGTCACTACTCCAACAGATTACCTTTAAATAACTTAATTATTCTCCACCTATGCTCTCTTCTGTATCTCAGGGCTAGAAGCCTAGGAACTCTGTATCCCAGAATTCCTGAGAACAAGGTTTCTAGATTCAGTTTTACCAGTGAAAGGTACTCATGAGAATTCTAGCAAGTATAAGAAAGGGAGAAGCCTCTGTTGCAAGCAGCAGCAGCAGGCATACGGGCTTTGCAAACCAAAGACAAGCGTTTCCCCAGCACATGCTGATTTCCTGAGTCAGCTTTCTCTGGCCTTCACTCTGCAGCCCTACTTCCTATTCTCCCATATTTAATGATTTTCTGCATGAACTACTTGAAGCTATTAACTGTTTTGGTTTTTCTGATGGATACTGAATTCTACAAATGTCCCAGAAGAAGCAGATTTTGAAATCTATAATGATTTTGTATAAATAATTGACAACTCTTCACCTTGTTTTCTGATGAGTACTCAAAGGCAAAAGGTCAAGGTTATGATATCACAAATGCTGAATTAGGCAACTTTTATTTATTTTTTACCTAATAGGAGTCTAAGGAAAATTCTAATCCTGTATATATCTTTTTCATGTAGAACTTCATCAATATGTTTAAATATTGATTCTTGTTATGGTTTACTGAAACAAAATATGAAGAAAAACTGAAAGCTTAATATGGATATCAGGAATATATAGTTCAGTCCATAAATAAATTCCCTGTTTGGATTTATAACTGATGATGCATTAATGAACAGTGCTAATCCTTTCATGTTGCTTTTGTCTAAATACACAAGTGAGTATTAATAATATAATTGTGCCTAAAGCTTGCTTAGTGCTCATACTAAACATTATTTTGTTCAAATATGTTTCCATTTGTATATTAGGAATTGGAAATAGAAGGACTACTTAATGTTTATTACTGCATACCTCCATATGTCACAGGAACAGTGCTTCACATATCTTAAATTGTTATTAATCTAGACAAAGAACTTATATAACAGTTGCTATCATTCTGATTTTACAAATGGAGACAGATTAAAAGAAATAACTGATTTTCCCTGTGTCAATAAGCTAATTAAAATTAAAACCAGAATTTGAGACAAGATCTGTCTCATCTGTGACTCACCTCACTTTCACTATAGCCACATGCTCCCTTCCATGGTTTTCTGTGGTATTTTGCCATAGACTTTAGGAAGAATGATTAGCAAATTATTATATGTTATTTTTTATATCTAAATGAAAAATAACACTGAGGCCTCAAATAGAAAGGATTTGATTAATTTTAATTATTTGTATTTTAAATTCAGACAAGAAAGTTAGAAGATCCAATCTTTAGTTCCTAAATTATAACTTTGTCCAAAATAGGATATTTAGTCATGCAGTTATATAATTAAGAATATAAGTAAAGATGCATGTATACTGTGAATCCTGAGATTTCATGGTTGTATAACAAACATGTAGCTGATACCCTGAGGATTGAGTAGGCATTGATCATTGTACCAGAAAGAATGCAGTAGATGAGGTACTGCTGGGATTTTCACAGCTTTCTTTGTCCTTCATTTGGGGCTCATTATGCATTAGAAAATGTTCTATACAAAGACTGAGGAGGTAATATTAAAGAATAATAGGTTTTAGCGGTGCAAGAAGCGCGCCCCGGCACCGCCGTCGGGCCATAGGGACTCGTTGCTGGAGGCTGGGCTCCCGGGTTCTCGGGTTGCATATGCTACCACCATCTTTGCCCGTTGTGCGGGGCTAGAAGCCTTCGGAGCCCTTTCTTTGCTGGGCCGTTCTGGTGGCTTCATTTGAGAGGAGCAGCATTCCCAGAAGATTCAACACTCAAGGTGAAAAACTAGATAATTTCCAAAGCTGGAGTTGAATCAAACGTTAATGGATGAGGAAGCTGTGGTACATATACACCATGGAATATTACTCAGCCATTAAAAAGAATTCATTTGAATCAGTTCTAATGAGATGGATGAAACTGGAGCCCATTATACAGAGCGAAGTAAGCCAGAAAGATAAAGACCATTACAGTATACTAACACATATATATGGAATTTAGAAAGATGGTAACGATAACCCTATGTGCAAAACAGAAAAAGAGGCTGCTATATATAGAACAGACTTGTGGACTCTGGGAGAAGGCGAGGGTGGGATGTTTCAAGAGAACAGCATTGAAACACGTATATTATCTAGGGTGAAACAGTTCACCAGCCCAGGTTGGGTGCATGAGACAAGTGCTCGGGCCTGGTGCACTGGGAAGACCCAGAGGGATTGGGTGGAGAGGGAGGTGGGAGGGGGGACCGGGATGGGGAATACATGTAAAAAAAAAAAAAAAAAAGATACACTATGGTTGTGATAAAAATAAATAAATAAATTAATTAATTAATTAATTAAAAAAAGAAAGAAAAAAAAACATTAAATAAAAAAATCAAACGTTAAACAGGTGACTTAAAAAGAAGCTTATGGAACTTAGAACAAGTGCTTCACTCACTAAATTATCCTAGAGAGGTGGATTGTGTAGGTTCGATAAAGGGAGATACAGCAGCCTCTCTGCCCATCATCAGCTATTCCCTTACCTCATACTCACCCTATGTAGCAGAACTTCTGGTCGACTCCAACGTTGAGCTCCTAGCAAAGAATGACTTGCGCTTCATAGACACTGTCTATAAGCTTCTTCATGATCAATTTAATTATAAACCAATCTTGACAAAAAAGCAGTTTATTCAGTGTGGATTTGCAGAATGGAAAATCCAAATTATATGTGATATTTTGAATTGTGTGATGAAGAAGCACAAGGAGTTGAGTAGTCTTGAGAAGACTCCATCACAACAAAGAAAAAAAAACCAGTTCTGCTAAGTCAGAACCTTGTTCAAGTGCTGAGAAGACATCTACTGAACCTGTGGGCATTGATGTCACTGGCAGATTTATGACTTCAGGAAAGAAGAAAGCTGTGGTGATCCGACACCTGTACAATGAAAATGGTGCTAATATTCCTGAAGACACAGAAACAGATGTTAACGAAGCATTTGATGTTTGTGACTTAAAGGCTGTTGAAATAACAATTCCTGAATTACAGGTTTCTGACATTAACTGTGAGCAACAAAATATAAAAGTCAACCCTGAGGTTACTGCATTACAGTCTATGCTTGCTGAATGCCAAGAAAAGCTTAAGAAACTGACTTGCATAGAAAGTAGATTAGAATCTTTGGAAGAAAAAATGAAAGGGAAGGTGATGGTGAGTGAAAAAACCTGGGCCAATCTTCTGAGTCGTGTCACTCTTCTCGAAACAGAAATGCTTTTATCTAAAAAGAATGATGAATGTATAGAGTTTAATGAGATGAGTGAAGACTATGCTTCCAGTAGTAACATGGACAGTCTCAATCCAGATAGAAAAAGCAAAGAGGAAAGGCATGCAAATATTCCTTTGTCCTCTGGTTATAGTACGGTGTCATCAGATTCAACTCCCAGAAACTCAACTGTTAATTACTGTGGTTTGAAAGAGTTCTCAGAGGAAACAATGCAGAAAATGGAAAGGATGAAAAAAATGTTTGAAGAAACTGCAGAGTTACTGAAATGTCCAAATCACTAATTATAGAATTGTCTGCATGAACTTCTCTAGGACTTTGACTACTGTACATGTTGTATATTTTAAAGAGTTCTCTATGCAATTTTAATACACTGGAATGTTCTTATTAGAATTTGAATTCCATTTGGTATATTCACTTTTTGGTTCCATATTGAATAAATACTTAAATATTAAAAAAAAAAAAAGAATAATAGGTTTTAGAGCCACAATCTTTAACCAGGAAGGAGTTCTGGAGAAATCTATGGGATTGGGGTGAATTAGTGCTCCTGGATAACAAGAATGCTTTTGAATCACATTCCTTTAATAAGGGGAAGATTCCTAAATTGAGCTAAATGAGGAGAGAACTAAGCAAAGGTTTTGGGGGTTTGGGAGTAAATTGTAATATAAACTTCTATAGTGAAAATTATGTGTCCGGACCTTAGGTATTTTAACCAGCCAATTTGTCTGAAATATCACAGGTCCACTTTGGGTTACCTCCTAATCATTTTAAGGTAGATTTTGAAAAACTGTTCCAACGATCATTTTTAATGGGCAGCTGGTACTTAACAATTGCTATGAAAAACGTGGCTCTTATCTGACTGCAAGAAGTGTGTAAAGTTCATCAGGAACTACTAAGGACTTCTAATTGGTCTTGATTATGACCTATTTCTTTAGCATCTGCCAGTTGGCTAACCCTGCAGCATCCACTCTAAAGATGGCTTTGAAAATTATACTGATTGCTGACTTCTCATTTGCTTTCACAATAAGTTCGGCAAATTAGGGAAATCCAAAGAAGGAAGAGAAGCCTGCTAAGACCTCATCTTCATGAAAGATGAATCAATTGTCTGCACTTCTGTCTCAGAGACCAGCTAGAGTCAAAGAGATTCTGCAACAAGCTACATATACAATTAAACTGGCTATTCACAGATAATGTGGAACAATAGCAAATTACTGTATGTTCCTGGCCTGCCTTTTCACTCATTTTTCTTCTCAGGTATACGATAAGTCTGTTTGAGGTAGGCAGATAATATCAGAAAGATTTCTCTGGGACTCTTGGCAAATCACCTTACATTTTTTGGGCTCAGTTCCTTTTTCTGTGGGCTGAGAAATTTAAAATCATTAATGTTTAAGTTTCTCTCAGTTATAAAAGTTTTGTGGCTTTATGATTCTATACATGAAAATGTATATGTCGGTATATGTCTTCCTACTGGAGCTAATTATAAAGACATGAAAAAAAATTAGGACTGTCTGTTTTCTTGAGTTGTCATAATGCTTTACATGTTAGGCACACAATGGCTATTTTTTCTTAATTGAATTGAGTTTCATTTACTTGGAAAGTAGCTTTAATTTGAAATCTACTGAAGCTTGGGCTGAGATCCAGAGAACTAACAAACAATTTCCCACTATCCTTTCTCTCTCCTTCTCTCTCTCTCTCTCAGAGACACACACACCCAAGTCTTATATGGTTTCCTCATCCTCACATATTATTCAAAGACCATATATATGCCGCACTAGCCAGATGCATCATCTCAAAATATTCTTCATTCCAAAATTCCTCACTCCATTCTCTGCTATCAGTCAAAATTCACAAATTTACTCAAAAACCAAAGGGAAATAGTCCCATTCAATTAATCAATTACATGAAATGAGTAATAACACTTTAATCTTCTGTACATATTTAATTTTAGAAAGTTTGTTAACCTCAGTGAACATGAAGCAGAGGTTGGTGACCATCCTCCTATATAACAAGATACAAATGACAAATACATTGAAATATAATAAAAACCAGAGGGCAAGTCTGGGTGTCTAGGTTAAGATCTGGCTTCACCAATATGATTCTACCTCCACCTCACCTTAAGCTCCTTTTCTTTTACAGTTGTGAATCATGGAATTTTTTTTTTTATTTTTATTTATTTATTTTAACTAGGGGCTAATTACTTTACAACATTGTAGTGGGTTTTGCCATACATTGACATGAATAAGCCACAGACACAAATGGGATCCCAATCCAGAATCCCCCTCCTACCTCCCTCCCCATCCCATCCCCCAGGGTCATACCAGTGCACAGCCCTGGGCACCCTGTCTCAGGCATCAAACCTGGACCTGCGATCTGCTTCACATATGATAATATACACGTTTCAATGCTACCCTCTCAAATTATCCAACCCTTGCCTTCTCTCACAGAGTCCAAAAGACTGTTCTTTACATCTGTGTCTCTTTTGCTGTCTTTCATATAGGGTCATTGTTACCATCTTTCAAATTCCATATATATGTGTTAGTATACTGTATTGGTGTTTTTCTTTCTGATTTACTTCACTCTGTATAACAGCTCCAGTTTCACCCACCTCATTAGAACTATTTCAAATGTTCTTTTTAAGGGCTGAGTAATAGTTCATTGTGTATATATATCACAGCTTTCTTATCCATTCATCTGCCAATGGACATCTAGGTTGCTTCCATGTCCTGGCCATTGTAAACAATCCTGTGATGAACATTGGGATACACGTGTCTCTTTCAATTATGGGTTCCTCGATGTGTATGCCCAGCAGTGGGATTGCTGGGTCATATGGCAGTTCTATTTCCAGTTTTTTAAGGAATCTCCACACTGTTCTCCATAGTGGCTGTACTAGTTTGCATTACCAACAGTGCAAGAGTGTTCCCTTTTCTCCACACCCTCTCCAGCATTTATTGCTTGTAGACTTTTGGATAGCAGCCATTCTGACTGGCATGTAATGGTACCTCATTGTGGTTTTGATTTGCATTTCTCTTATAATGAGTGATGTTGAGCATCTTTTCATGTGTTTGTTAGCCATCTGTATGTCTTCTTTGGATAAATGTCTGTTTAGTTCTTTGGCACATTTTTTTATTGGGTCACTTATTTTTCTGGAATTGAGCTGCAGGAGCTGGTTGTGTTTTTTTAGATTAATTCTTTGTCAGTTGCTTCATTTGTTATTATTTTCTCCCATTCTGAAGGCTATTTTTTCATCTTGCTCACAGTTTCCTTCGTTGTGCAAAAGTTTTTAAGTTTAATTAGTTCCCATTTGCTTATTTTTGCTTTTATTTCCATTACTCTGGGAGGTGGGTCGTAGAGGATCCTGCTGTGATTTATGTCAGAGACTGTTTTGCCTGCTTTCCTCTAGGAGTTTTATAGTTTCTGGTCTTACATCTAGATCTTTAATCCATTTTGAGTTTATTTTTGTGTATGGTGTTAGAAAGTGTTCTAGTTCCATTCTTTTACATGTGGTTGACCAGGTTACTCCACACCACTTGTTAAAGAGATTGTCTTTTCTCCATTGTATATTCTTGCCTCCTTTGTCAAAGATAAGGTGTCCGTAGGTGCATGGATTTATCTCTGGGCTTTTTATTTTGTTCCATTGATCTGTATGTCTGTCTTTGTGCCAGGACCATACTGTCTTGATGACTGTAGCTTTGTAGTAGAGACTGAAGTCAGGCAGGTTGATTCCTCCAGTTCCATTCTTCTTTCTCAAGATTGCTTTGGCTATTCGAGGTTTTTGTGTTTCCATACAAGTTGTGAAATTATTTGTTCTAGTTCTCTGAAAAATACCATTGGTAACTTGATAGAGATTGCATTGAATCTATAGATTGCTTTGGGTAGTAATCTCATTTTCACTATATCGATTCTTCCAATTCATGAACATAATATATTTCTCCATCTATTTGTGTCATCTATGATTTCTTTCATCAGTGTTTATAGTTTTCCATATATAGGTCTTTTATTTCTTTAGGTAGATTTATTCCTAAATATTTTATTATTTTCGTTGCAATGGTGAATGGAATTATTTCCTTACTTTCTTTTTCCATTTTCTCATTGTTAGTGTATAGGAATACAAGGGATTTCTGTGTGTTAATTTTATATCCTGCAACTTTACTATATTCATTGATTAGCTTTAGTAATTTTCTGGCGGATTCTTTAGGGTTTTATATGTAGAGGATCATGGCATCTGCAAACAGTGAGAGTTTTACTTCTTCTTTTCTAATCTGGATCCCTTCTATTTCTTTTTCTTCTGTGATTGCTGTGGCTAAAACTTCCAAAACTATATTGAATAGTAGTGGTGAGAGTGGGCACCCTTGTCTTATTCTTGGAGGGTTTTTATCATAAATGGATGTTGAATTTTGTCAAAGGCTTTCTCTGCATCTATTGAGATAAGCATATGTTTTTTTTCTTTCAATTTGTTAATGTGGTGTATCACACTGATTGATTTGTGGATATTAAAGAATCCTTGCATCCCTGAGATAAAGCCCACTTGGTCATGATGTATTATGATCTTTTTAATATGTTGTTGGGTTCTGTTTGCTAGAATTTTGTTAAGAAATTTTGCATCTATGTTCATCAGTGATATTGGCCTGTAGTTTTCTTTTGTGTGGCATCTTTGTCTGATTTTGGTATTAGGGTGATGGTGGCTTCACAGAATGAGTTTGGAAGTTTACCTTCCTCTGCAATTTTCTCAAAGAGTTTGAGTAGGATAGGTGTTAGCTCTTCTTTAAATTTTTGGTAGAAATCAAATGTGAAGCCGTCTGGTCCTGGGCTTTTGTTTGCTGGAAGATTTCTGATTACAGTTTTGATTTCCATGCTTGTGATAGATCTGTAAGGTTTTCTATTTCTTCCTGGTTAGGTTTTGGAAAGTTATACTTTTCTAAGAATTTGTCCCTTTCTTCCAAGTTGTCCATTTTATTCGCATATAGTTCCTGATCATAGTCTCTTATGATCCTTTGTATTTCTGTGTTGTCTGTTGTGATTTCTCCATTTTCATTTCTCATTTTGCTGATTTGATTCTCCTCCCTTTTTTTCTTGATGAGTCTGGCTAATCATTTGTCTATTTTATTTATCTTCTCAAAGAACCAGCTTTTATCTTTGCTGATTTTTGTTATAGTCTCCTTTGTTTCTTTTTCATTTATTTCTACCTTAATTTTTATGATTTCTTTCCTTCTACTAACCCTGGAGTTCTTTATGTCTTCCTTTTCTACTTGCTTTACGTGTAGAGTTAGGTTATTTACTTTACTTT